ATTGCACTGCTGACAGGACCGTCCTGTCTGTTAATAGTTCCAAAAACGGCACTGTTTTGGAACTACATGTATTGACAGGATTTTTTCAGTGCCACTTTGTTTTTGTTTTTTCATTTTTGTTTTCATTTTTAACCAGGCACAGGCTTTCGGCGTTACGGGTTTCACATCAATCTGACGATTTGCGGCACTGTCGTGACTCTTTGGTCATAGTTACAGGAAGCGGAATTTCTTGTTTTTTTTTTCTAGGAACAGGCCAAAATCAATGCGCGCGCGGACGTCATCCATAAAATTTACTTGGTGTAGCCTAAGGCTTTGGAAATGACTTATGAATCATTGGAATAATCTTTTTGTATCAACAGGGTACCTCACAGGCTAAACTACATGTAATCTACGAACCTTGGATGCTCTGTTATAATTTTGTGGCAATCTGGCGTTTGACTATGCGATACAAAGTATTTTTCCAAGCACGCTTAACAATGAATTTAGGATAACAAAATAACATGCTATGTGAAATTAAAGCAGCCGATGTATGCTTGTGGAAGAATTTCCATGCAGACAATGCTTGACGTTGAATTAAAGTGGCCAGCCACGATTAACGGAGAACTAAAATGGCTTGCTATACGCCTCATCACGAAAAAAGGCAATGCCATGCAAAACCCTCTTCGTGCCCGTAGCCAGGGGGGGTTCGGGGGGCTCAGACACAAGGCTCAAACGTCCACTTTTTGGTCAACTTTTTATCTAAAGGTCCAAGACTGATTCGTGTCACCAGTGAAGCTGGAATCGTAGGATTGTCATTGAAAAAAGTTCTCTCTGATTCTTTCTTTGAAATCCCAAAAAACAAAACACAGGAAATGCCATTTCAGAAGGTTCATTTTTCGAAATTTTGCGGGGGAGCATGCCCCCATACCCCCCTAGGAACTTCGCGCCTTTGGCGCTCTCTGGTCCCTCAAGCAGTGGGAAGAACCCCCCCCCCCTTCAAAATCCTGGCTACGGGCATGCTCTCATTTGGATGCCTCCTCTCTAGGGGAAGTTCAGGTGCTTTGTTCAAATGGCAATCTGTGATCAAAAAAATTGGGTCCATTGACCTGAACAAACTGGATCAATGACTCCCCTGTACACAGTTGAGACACAACAGAGCGGCTGCTAGTCCGACTGTTACGTGTACAGACAGGACTGGACGCGAGGGGTCAACTCTGACCAACCCTCTCCCAGCGGACTGACTGACCCAATTGACTAAGCTTGTGATTGATTGGGTCAATCATACATCCAACCTTTCATTGTCAGGAGTTATCAGGACTCACACTGTCTGACCCAGATGAAGCGTCTGAAATCAGGCTAGGCTAATCCAGCCTGGTATGATCCGCACCTGATGGGGAAAACTCAGCATCGTGTCTGCTGCAATTTTCGTCTGGCACTTGTATCCCCAATCAATGAACTGTCTTTTGTCAATAAATCTTTCAAACACAATACTGTGCATCAAATATGCTGGAGGATGAAGTAGGTCTCATTTCAAACTCTTCGTTCGATGGCAAGAAAGAAGGACGCTCTTTAAAGAATCTATCCAAAGTTTCCATGATTCTGACGCACAAAAAAATGATTCATAATTATTATCATACTTACATGTAGTCTATGAACTCAAATGAAATACTTTTGATCGACTCAACAAGAAGGATTTGTATCTGAGATTTCTAGAAGTTATTCTAGATAGTAGAGGGCCTGCAAGGGGGGGTCCCAACAACGCTCTACGCTGAATTCGGAATTTTCAAACCTCTCAATTATGCTTTACGATAAATTCCAAGTGGCTACAACGCATTACGTAGAATTAAAATGGCGAATACGCTCTACGCAAAACGCAAAGAGCAGTCCGTCTACGCTCTACGTATAATTAAAACGGCCGATTACGCTCTACGGAAAAGGGCTTGCGGGCCCCCATAGTACAGTTACTGTACATACATGTAACTGTACATTGATGAAGGCTAGACATCCTAATCTCTACTGTCAATTTGGATAAAATACAGAGATTACTTCTGGACATTCTTAGTTACGTCCATCACTCTTCTTCAGTATCACTTTTTCTAGTTCCTCATTCTCAAGTGTCGACTAGTTCTCTCAGTTAATTGTCACTTGAAACGTCCCGAACTAATCTCCGTTTTCTATTCAGCAGTAGAGTTTGAAAGAGAAGTTAAATGCCAACCCCTAGCCCATGTTTTTTTATTGACATCTAAATTTCAAACCCTCTGAATTCTAAAACATTATTCAATGCATTTTCAGAAGAATTTTTTTTCCTACATAAATTGGGTCAACATAAAAAGATAATAGTTTTTTCAGGACTGAAACACAACATCAATTTTCCTAGGCCTGACTCCAATCTGACATGTATATCTTGACAGCAATAGCCAGTGTTTTATGATTGATGATAATATTACAGGATCAGAGCCCTACATGTACTAAAGAGACAAGTCTCAAGCAGGTACTGTAAATCACTTTATATTCGCAGTACTAATTTTCAAGGTGATTTCTGTACTGCAAATTTATCACCACCACAAAAAAATAATTTGCAGACTTTCTTTCTTGTTCACCTGCGACCACCGCAAACATACTGTATAGTTCTGTGAACGTGTCCATTTTTCTCAGACTGCGAACTTTTGCTACCGTGAATATAAAGTTATTTACAGCACTGTTCTCAAAGAGTATGGTGTTCCATGATGAGAATGTATCCACTTAAACGGTTCGTCCTTGAAGTTTAAAAAATCTGAATGTCAATCATATTCTTATTTTCAATATGTGCACCGTAGTATATACCCATCTCCAAAAGAACATAGAATAATATCATCGACAAATGCATGGTCATTTGCTTTGATTCTAGAAATTAGTGAATGCATACCTAAACCCAATTTTAGGTTCAGGTCCTGATTCAAGTCCAGAGGTTTAGGTTCAGTTCTGGACTCGAAAGTCCGGACCTAAACCCATGGCATATACAAAATTGCGTGTTGGCAACCTTGCAATGTTGTCTGGGTGAAACTTTGGCCACATAACATGGAGGCTGGTACTTGACGATGCCCGATGGCAATGTTTTCTTTATTTTGCAGCAAAGATTTTACAATCTACAGAAGATTTTAGGTGGTTTGGAAAGAAAAGGGGTATGTGTAATGGTCTTTTATGGTAATAAGTCCGGACTCGGTTCTTGACTTTAAGGTTTTTTTTTACTTGAACCTAAACATTCTTACAAGTCCGGATCCAAGTCCAGTGAACCGATATGGACAACGCAAACAATTCTCTTGACATTTAGGCCACTCTGCTGTACAGGAAACTTGTGGCTTGTGACCTTTTAACAAAGCATCAGAAGACGCAAGAGATGCCCTTCTTAAAGCTTGTGAAATCAGGGTTCATCTTAAAGGCATCCTATGTAATTTCAGAGTGGCAAAACCAAAAACATCCTGAATGAGGAAATCTGTCTGATATTGACATTTACTGACATTTCTTTTCTTTTTCAACGTGAAGAGTATGAAATAGCCCAAAAGCAAGCTAAGTGAAGAGCCCCTTTAGTTTTCAGCACCACCTATTTATAGCTAGAAAAGCTTACGATACTTTCAGCAACATTTACTGTTTTTCATCGCTGAGTCATCGCATTTTTGCCTCAATTTGTGATACCCCGGTACATTGCTATAGGATAGGGTTGCTTGAACTTTGTACATTAATTGTACAGAATCACTTTGGGTGGTTTAACACAACCACCCTGCTTTTATATATGGTTCAAATGTAAATACAGAAAGGGCTGGTTTAAGAAAGCTTTGTTAGGCCACACCAATTTAATTTCTTGGTTAACGGATTCGCCCGCTTCATTTTTTTCTGATTTGCAAATAAAAATAAAAATTTAGAATCAACTGCAAAATGCTCGTATTTTGCCCTGACCAGTTAAAAACAGTCTCTTTTATCCTAATTGTTACAGTTATTCCATCTTTCAATGCAATGGTATCATCAAAAATTAAAAATTCATTGTTTAAATTTTGAACCAGCCTGGTGTGTTGACTTCATGGCTCCTACATGTATCTACCATTTTGGGCCATAACAGGATGCCTAGACCTGTTTTTATTTTTATTTTTTTCTCGCCCGCCCGCTCCATTATTTTTCTAAAAAAAAAACAGTTAACCAAGAAATTAAATTGGTGTGGCCTTATGCCATAATAATCAATTATAAGTGGATTTTTTTAGTAACTTGCTGCTACTGATATTGTCATCAGGGTTAGGGTGAGGGTGCAACAGCTTGGACATAGCTACCAACTGACAGCTTAACTTGCAAGAACTTGTTTACAAAGTAGTTACTCAGGACTTCTACTGTGTATGGACAGATTAATTTGTACAAATATATGCTCTACTTTCAGCTGGAAAGGTTTCAGTCTGTGGGTATTTGTCAAAACCTGAAAGGGTTTTGAGTCCTGTCATGTACCCTTCTTGACTCAGTTACCAATCGCTCACAAGATAGTACTGTTGCAGTACCAAGAAAAGTTACCAGGTGGCCAATATTAGACCTTGACCTTCCTATTCCCAAAACCTTCTCAAAAATAATTTACCGACTTTCTTTTAGCTGTACCTGCTGGCAGCACGAATAGATAGTCTCATAAACATATCCATTTTTCTCAGACCACGAAACAATAAAGTGATTTACAGTATTTCAAGCCCTGTCTTTATTTCCATGGGTCAGACAGGTAATATGAGCTGTGTGAGGTACTGTGCGGTGTGGTGTTAGTTGGTGTTTAATTTATACTAGTTCATGTACCTTGCACCCTTCACAGGTGTCCATTCTGAAGTGGAACCCCGAGAATTTTGCCCCGTAGACCAAAAAAAGTATTTCAAACCCTGTCATTCCATGGGTCAGGCAGATATAATAGGAACTGTGTGAAGTACTGTGCGGTGTAAGTTGGTGTTTAATTCATAATAGTTTATGTACCTTGCACCCTTCACAGGTGTCCACTCCGAAGTGGAACCCCGAGGATTCCGCCCCGCAGACTTTGCAGGGACTTCTGGTCACCGGCGGTTGCGAGCTGCTGGAAGCACGGTCACCTGCGGACACACACGGATCGAGAGAAAAAAAAAAAGCGGGTCAATACCCAAGTGGCCTGTGCGGCAAGAGCACAAGACAAACATGGCAACCCAGAAATCCCTGCTGCAGAAACAAATCCCATGACCTAGATTCCATTGACTGAAATTTATGTAAATAGGGCTGTCTGGCTGTAGGCTGGTGGTGTGACAGGGACGAGAAGCAATAATGAAGGACGCATCATCAGCAACAGGGATGAAACTATTGATTTTGCTTGATGCTGATAGATTCAGACTAACTGTACCAAAGTAAGCAAATTGGCACACAATTTTCTGCTTCACCATTTAGGCTGCAATAGATGTGACTTATCTAGGGCAGCAAAGTAGGGCACACATAATGGCCCAGACAGTATAAATTAATGACGCTTCTGATGGCCTATCAAGGAGAAAGAAAAAAAAAGGATGGGAGGAAGACTGTCTGACAGCAGCTTGCTGAAAAAAAAAGGAAGTCGTATACTGAGGAAAAGAAACGCAAGAGCAAGTTGTAGTCTAGAAAAGGAAAGGAATTTGCAGGTGGTACAACTATAACAACCTGTCAGACAGTATATTAACAGATTTATTCTGTGTACTCCGCCTGTGCTCAACAGAATTTGTTACATTTCATGCTATAGATAAATATAATTTCATCCTAGAGGGCAATAACCCTTACTGTGTACAAATAGGTAAATATATCAAAGAATGTTTAAACCTTAGAACAAGTAGTATTGATTGATCCATCTATTGTTTTGTCCGTAGGATAATTTCGTTGTACCCAACGCAGGGGTTTTTCTAGAAAAATTTGGCATGAGGGAGCAGTATCACGGCGAGGGAGCGAAGCGACCGAGGGGGGTTTGGTGCGGAAGGGGGGTATCCCCCCTTCCACCATGTGAAGCCTTTGAAAATTTGAAGTTGAAATGGGACATTTTGAGGCTACTTGAGGGGGGAAATTTGAACTCTTAACCTTTCCCAAATTTCTGTTCATGCATTGCATATTTCACTTATAAAATATAAGTACAATCAACAGTACACACAATCTACAAATCACCCTTTATACACTTACACAATTAGTGATCAATGTTACTAGTAGATGACAACATTGGGTTTGCCACAAGCTGAAACCTTTCCCATGGCACAATTGCAACACATTCATCCAAGCTGCTACAAACTCAGGTCTCATGTTTCACTTCAGAGCCTGTTCTATAGTATGCAAATGAAGGAGGTCTACTACATGTCTTAGAGCAAGTTCTCAATGAACATTGTTTATTCCATTCAAACTTTTACTACTAGAGCTAAATTTTCAAGTTTGTGGTAAGATTTTGGAAGTTTTATGAGAGTAACATAGTTTGTAATGCTAGAATGTATTGTTATGTGGTGTTGTTTTTGTATTTTTACTGGAAAAAGATGATTTTGAAAAAGACTTAGGCTTCAATCTGAAAATTGATATGAGGGCGCTGGTTTGTTACATGAGGGCGCAGCGCCCTTGTTCCCCTGTTCAGAAAAACCCCTGCAACGTATAAATTTTGTCTGTATATCTACATGTCTTAGACCTTACGAAAGTCGCTGTACTTTTGTTGTGTCAATAAAGTTCTGTATAAAATAGATACATCCTAAAGCTGCATTATGTATAACATAAGGACGATAAAAAAGGGAAATTTTCTCATCATTTCTCTGCAAAGTAAGTAGAATCAACCCGACTGCATTTATACGCCATTCAGGAAGTAAAGGTGCCAAGATATCAGATGCCTCACCAGTGCGTTTAAATTTCAAGCCCTCAAGACAACAACATTAAAGGCATCCAAAGCAATTTCAGGGTATGGCCACACCAATTTAATTTCTTGGTTAACGGATTCGCCCGCATCATTTTTTTCTTATTTGCAAATAAAAATAAAAATTCAGAATCAACTGCAAAATGCTCATATTTTGCCCTGAACAGTTGAAAACAGTTCTTTTCATCCTAGTTGTTACAGTTATTACATCTTTCAATGCAAAGGTATCATTAAAAGTTTAAAATTCATTGTTTAAATTTTGAACCAGCCAGGACTTCATGGCTCCTATCATACCATTTTGGGCCATAATAGGATGCCTAGGCCTGTTTTTATTTTTTATTTTTTTTTGTCCGCCCGCTCCATTATTTTTCTAGAAAAATCCGTTAACCAAGAAATAAAATTGGTGTGGCCTAACAAAACTAAAAAAAAATTCAGTGGATGAGGAAATCTGTCTGATATATACTGCCAGTACTGGTACTAGCCCGAAAGCAAGCTTAATAAAGTGTAGGTCCCTGTATTTTTAGTACCACCAATTAACAGCTACATGCACATTGTAGAACAAGTCTACGATACGAAACAAGCAACAGTTACATGTACAGCGACATCACGTCATTGCCTCACAGAATAATATCAGTAGTGCTAATTGGTATAGGGTTGATTCAACTTACTGTGTAGAAAAAATGACCAGAAATTTGCCTTTTGAAAATCCGGTTTTACTGCCCTGAAATTACTTTGGGTGCCTTGAATGTTTACATGATTATGATGAAAAGGCTAAACTTTACGTCCAACACTTAAGTAAATTGGGACTTATCCAAATTTTCAGTTAACTACATCAGCCTTGTTCACAGAATGGACACAAGGCTGACAGAGTTGGCTGAAAATTTGGGTAAGTCCCTAAACCCTACTGGTAGTGTTAGACATAAAGTTTTGACTTTTTGTGATAACGTATTGTCAACAAAAATGAACTTTCATGGTAGGATGTCTTACAAGATGTTTGGAGGGTTTTCTGGAGCCTTACCTTTTCTAGCCATGCCCACTGCCAAGCATTTTTGGAGGCGACAATACTGGCACTGAGACCTTGTCTGCTTGGTGATGTCACATTTCTGCTGTTTGCTACACTTGAATTTGGTTCGATCTCCGCCATCCTTGGTACTTCTGATGAAGAATTTCTGCAGGTAGAGAGAAGAAGGAAGGATTGGTTAATGTCATTTCTAATCTAAAAACTAGGATAGTTAGTACTGACTTGTAAATGTTTGATGGACAAAGATGACACAGAAACAGGTTCAAAACCCTCTCTCGCACTCTCACAGATCTAGACCAAAGTCATGTTTTCTCTGTGAGACTTACACAAGTTACAGATAACTGTAAATCACGATTTTTATTGCAGTGCAAAATTTATAATCATGGTTTTTGCAGTCAGATCCCTACTGCAAACTTTTCATTTATTCGTTAACAAATAATTAATTTTGCAGACTTTCTTTTTGCTGCACCTGCCAGAACTTATAGTTCGTCTAATTTTCTACATGTCCATTTTTCCTCAGACCGCAAATTTTTGCTATCACAAACATAGTGATTATCCGTAGTTGGTACTGACTTGTAAATGACTATGATGGACAAAGGTGACACAAAAGCGGGGGTTCGAAATATCCACTCTCACATTCTCATGACTTAATGGGTTGCCCAGTGCATAAGTTAAAACTTTGTTTAAAGTTAGAACTTTTGGTCAAAATGGTTCTTACCTAGTGCTTTTGACCAGTCACTAATATAGATGGTCTTCCTCTGTCAATAAACTCAGTAGACCAGAGTGACTGGTAGAAAGGTCTACGTGAAAACCATTCTTTGTGTTTGATCTAAATTTAGAACATTATACATGTAACTACGGACACAGATGAACTTTCATGATAGTTCAAAATTATACATTTTTTACAAGCAATGTTAGAAAACCAAATGTACAACGTTTTATAACTCAGGTGTCAGATCATGGAGCTAGAAAAGGTTGATCAGCTCAAAAAATCTATGTCCCTTGCAGGGTTCCACCTCCAAAAAAAGTCTAGGGTCGTCAGGTTTTTCTAGGGTCGGTCGGGAAACAGGAAACACAACATTTCTTTTCCTAGGCCTAACTGGCTTCTTGAAGTGCCCAAAAAAGTGAAAATCCTTCGAACAGTAAAAAGTTGCTTACAGACTTTTCTAATAGGCCTCTAATAAAAGGGTTAAAGGGGGACAACATTCCTTCACACTTGTGTAACTGTTACTGACTAGTGTGTCATGGTCTCATAAGGCCACAGCAAGTAATTTTTATGGATGACATCAGCGCGCGCATTAATTTTCGCCTGATTTGAGAAATTTTGTTGCCCTCTGACAGTGGTCAACATGCCGAAAATGGGCAAACTTTGGGTAAAATGCCATGCTGGAAGGTGGATGGCAGATAAATATGGAAGAGAGGAGACAAGACAAGGCTCTGATTTAATGTTTTGTTTCTTACTTTGATGCAGTGATATGTGATGCTGGCTGTGTATATGTGATGTGTTCCTACTGAATCAAAACCATTTGTAGAATGATTCAGTCAAAATTTTAAATTGTAGGAACCTTGTTTTTTTCGGCCTGTCTTGTTCTTTTTTCGCCCGCTTGCATTAGATTTGGAGTCTGTGGAGGATGTCAACCATAAAATTTACTTGCTGTTGCCTAAACTGTGTTACACAGAACATCTGCAGAATGTACCGTGCCTGTGGAAAACCCGAAATGTATTGCACATAGCTCTTCGGCAGAACGTATTCAGGTATATAAGGATGACAACCCGTCTATATCTTTTCAAATGTTGTTGTGGAAAGAATATTCCCTGCAACAGGCAAAATTCTGATGCAATGTTAACTACTCAAAGCCACCCATAATAGATTTTACACACATTACAGTCTTGACCTGCCATGTACTTGGACCACTTCTTGTGGGTGTAGTTCTTGTATTGCTTCTAGACCTCACTAAGTCTTATTTTATCAGCACAATATATTATAACTACTTATTAGATATATTTGAATTATGCTTAACCTTCTATATTGATGTATTTTTACTTGTTTTTGACCATGATGATAATGATGTTGTATATGTGTTTTTGTATGGGGGAAGGCAACTTGCACCTGTTTTGCCCTCCCTTTCACTTTGTGAAAAATCATAATAAACAAATAAACCAAACAACCAACCGTGTGACGGAAAAATTTTGAGCCAATCTGTCAATCTTGAGGGACAAAATTGACAAAAAAAGGGGGGAAAAATACACACGTTCAGTGAATGTGTTACAGGATCATAATGGAAAAATGCGATGTGTACGAGGGGTGTTCAAAAAGTTCTCGGCCTCACCTAGAAAACGTCATGGCAGTAAAATTTTTCTTAAACTATTTTATAATATAGCCCTTTCTAACTGCAATGCACTTGGTCCAGTGATGTTCCAGCTTTATTTTCCCCTTGTGGAAGAAGGTTGCATCTGGACCCCTCACATTGGCCTATACCGCATAGATGACGTCATCATTACCATCAAAACGTTGACCACGTAAGTGGAACTTGAGTTTAGGAAACAGGTAGAAGTCCTAGGGTGCTAGGTCAGGTGAATTGGAAGGGTGGGGTTAGACTGCAAACCCAAATTCGTTTGCTGCTGTCGCTGACCCCTGTGTTGTGTGGACAGGTGCATTTTCATCACGCCAGCTCGGAGCTTTCCTCTCCTTTTCTCTTTGATCGTTGCCCTCAAATGTCGTAATTCTGTTTTATAGTACTCCCCATTGATGCTTTAACCCCTTCGCATGTAGTCAATCATGATTGCTTCCTTACTGTCCCAAAAAACAGAGGCAAAAACCCTGTCAGCGGACGAAACTCGCTAAAACTTCTTTGGGGGGCGGGAAAAATTCTTCATCCATTGTTTGCTCTGTTGTTTTGATTCGGGGTGAAAGTGGTGAACCCAGCTCATCTTGAGTGACAAATGTTTTGAGGAAACTGCATGAATTGGACTGAATTTGTTCCTTGAAATGTCAAGCCTGTTTAAGTTCTGATGTTCAAAAAACATTCGAGGCACCCACAATGCAGACAGTTTGTTCATCCCCAGGATGTTCGACAAAATATTGTGAACTGAGTCATAACACAGGCCAAAGAACCTGCTACATGTTGGACAGTCTCACATCTGTCATTCACTACCATGTGATGGATGGCCTCAACTGAATTGTCCGTGGTGCTGATTTGTGGCATCCTGACCTATGTTCATCTTTTGTGCTCTCCTTGCCGCGATTGTAGCTAGTAACCCCGTTCTTTATATTTAAATAAGAAGGGGAGTCATCACCAAGTGTCTTGACCATGTCTTCATGGATGTCCTTAGGAGACTTTCTTTTTTGTCGATACACTTGATCACAGCACACGCTTCTTTTGCGGCCATTTTGTGATTTGCCCTCACCCACCCCATTTTCACGGGGCGTCACGTGCTCATTAATGAATACAAAAATTTGAATTTTTGTGTGCAGTGATGTAAGACGTCATAGTATACAGCTATACCAAAGAATAGGAGTTTGACCTTTATTTTCTAGGTGAGGCCGAGAACTTTTTGAACACCCCTCGTACATGATGCTTCCATACTAGATCAGAATGGCTCGAAATATTTTTTTTCCATACCTGACATTGAAAAAAATGTACCAGACAAATTTTACCTGCACCCCTCAGAATTTAGGATGTATGTATGGATCATTCTAAAAACTGTTCTGAAAAGACTGCCATTATTTCTTTTTTATACTTTACATGTGGTGACAGTCAGTACAGGACAGTAATAAAACTCCACATAATTATACTTTTTGTATAACGCCAGTACATGGACCAGTGTAGGTTAGGTGCAGGTAGACATCAGAAATACCTGCACAGCTCCAATTTTACCTGTACTAACCTGCATATACCCAGTACATGGACCAGTGCAGGTTAGGTACAGGCAGACATCAGAAATGCCTGCACAGCTCCAATTTTACCTGCACTAACCTGCATATACCCAGCACATGGACCAGTGCAGGTTAGGTGCAGGTAGACATCAGAAATACCCGCACAGCTCCAATTTTACCTGTACTAACCTGCATATACTGAGTGCATGGACCAGTGCAGGTTAGGTGCAGGTAGACATCAGAAACACCTGCACAGCTCCAATTTTACCTGTACTAACCTGCATATACCCAATACATGGACCAGTACAGGTTAGGTGCAGGTAGACATCAGAAATACCTGCACAGCTCCAATTTTACCTGCACTAACCTGCATATACATGTACCCAGTACATGGACCAGTGCAGGTTAGGTGCAGGTAGACATCAGAAATATAGTTTCTGAACAGCTTTAGACTTTAGAGTTATTTTTTTATTATTCCTATATTCTAAGTGGTGCAGGTGAAATTTGTGAGTTGGGGAGAATGAAAGAATGACCCTGTATATATGCAGAAAAAGTATTCCGAGCCCGGCATAGTAATAACACAACATAGCAGGACTGATTTTTGACCCCAATCCTTCGACTTGTTGGTTACAGGAAAAATGTTTCAAATCATTTTCATAAGCAGCATGACAAAGGATGATGGAAAGGGACAGGCCTAACCAAGTGCTTACAACGAGATAAATCACTTCCCAGACTGACTAATGCCCTCAGCCCAACAGAACTGGGGCACAAGGACTAGTAATGAGGCTGCTATTGGAGTCTATTGCTATATACCCTATAGGGTTGATTGGTGTGATGGTTGTGTGCATTCTTCTTCTCTGGAATGGGCTTTTCATTAAGATAAAAACAAGCGATTCGATAGACTAATCCTAGCTAAGAAACAGTGCTTTTTGTATGTGTTGCAAATATATCACCAACAATTAGCCCCACCTGATTTTTGCAAGATTATGTTGCCTAGTTGTCTACGTTGTCTAGAAAATTTTAAGAATTATTTGGTACTTCTATATTGTATGTCACTATGTGCCCTTACTCAATTCTACATGTATGCAAATCCAGGTACAGACAAACCAAAAATAATCTGGATGAGGAAATATGTCTGATATCAACATTTACTGACATTTCTTAATGTATTTTACTCATCATGATTGTCATACTTGAAGCATATGAATTAGCCCAAATGCAAGCTATGTGAGGAGTCCCTCTATTTTCTGGTACCAGATTACACAAATGTAGCTAGAACCAGTCTAC